TTTTTTTTGTGAAAGAAAGAATGTAATGATTATGAATTGGATAGGATGATTTATCTTATTGGGCTAAAAAGTCTATTTTGTTTTTTGTGGCTATTTTAGCCAAAAAAAACTCCAAACCTCTCTTCCCAAACGGAGCCTAAGTGGTGTTTTGAAAAGTTTGTAAAAAGTTAATTTTTTAATTTTTTTAGTCTATTTTATCTTTTTATGAATAAAAAATGTGAAAAGTAATGTGACTTAAAATAGATAAAAAACTACAAACAAGCTTTTTCTTTTCCTTTCCAAAACACCCCTAAATTACTTTGTAATTTTGAAATATATGGGCTAACTATTTTTTTTTTTTAAAAAATGTTTAAGCTTCTTAATAACATTCTCATAATTTTATTTCTAGTGATGTAAAATGATATGTGTTAATCTTTATTTATCACATACTCAATTATAATTATAATTATATGGATTCTACGCCCTTACTACATCATTAAAGATGCGTGATAACATGGGAGATTTTGCAAAACTCTTTTTAAAAAATATAAGTTAAAAACAATCATTTCACTTTTAAATAATTAGGTAGTATTTGGTAGAGTTTTAAAATTATAATTTGATAATAGAATTATATTTTGAATTTGTGAGTTTCGAAATTATTATTTAAAAGGAGAAAATTTGTTTGTTTATGAGTTTTGAATTGAATTTTGAATTGAGTTTTAAATTTTTGATGTGACATATGAAATGAAAAAAGTTGTTTGGTTATGAGTTTTGAAAAGAGTTTTTAAAACTTAATTGAAAAACTCATAACTCATAACCAAACATACAACTCAAAACTCTATTAAAAATTATATTCAAAACTCATAACCAAACTCTTTTTAAAATTCAATTCAAAAAATAATTTGTTATTTTGGTCTAAAAAAATAGGAAGATTTATTAGAAAATCATTTTTCAAGTATTTGTATCCCAATTAGTCCATAAGATATTTTTGTATTCCAATAAGTCCTATTATTTAAACATTTGATCTATCAAATCCTAATTATCATATTTAAGGTATTTTATAGACATTTTTATCCTTACAAATATTTTTTGAAACGGTTAGCAATTTGGTGATGTGAATCTTTATATTTTACAATGTGAATATTCACATTAACATGTTAATATTCTCATTGATGATGTGAACATGCACATCACAAAACATTCATACTGTAAATGTGAATATTATTAGGAGTATTTTGGTAACTATGCCACCCATAGAACTTATTGGAATATAAGAAAAAAATATGGGTTAAATGGAACATAAGTGGATAAAAATGGATTTATAAAAAAAATGCCCCCAAAAATTAATTTATATATTTAAAAAATATCAAAAATAATATAATTTTTTTCTTTAAATAATAGGTGGTGATTGGCAATTGTAAAAAAAATACAATGTTTCGGTCAATCGACCAGCCAACCAACTGGACTACCGACCGAACGTCCGTAAAGACGTTCCAGAGGATGATCAAGTAAACACAAAATTCAAAAACTCCATGTAGAAGATGAAAGAGAGAGATACCTAATGTGAAAGTGAAAGTGAAAAATATTTTAAAATGGGTAATGAGATTAGAAGAATGGAATTATGATTACTTTTAAAAACTTATTTGTAAAAAAAAAATTTCAAAACTTTTTAAAAAACACAAACCAAATAAAGCCTACATTTTTAAAACTCCATTCAAACAGAAGATGCAAATTAGAAGAATGGAATCATGATTACAAAATTACACCAAACACAGTCTTAATTCCCGGTTTAAGATGATATGAGAGAGAGAGAGAGAGTTGGTACGCTGATATGATCATAGGATGTGAATGGAGGTGAACACAATCTCTGGTGGAGGATATGGGTGTCCACCCTAGGCCTGGGTGTTTAAAATAAGGGAAAATCACAGTTGAGTTAGAATTTTAAAAAATAATTATAAATAAATAGTAAATTTTATAAATATTAATAATAAATTTTATGAATTTGTAATTAAATTTCCATATTACTACTTAATGGTAATATTCCTTTAAAATAAAGGCAATATGTTGTATAAAAATATTAAAGGGTTGTTTGGTATACATTATTTTAGTCTATCTTTTTATCTTTTTTAGGTCACATTAATCAACTATTTTTCTACACATCTTTTTATAAAAAGTCAAAAAGTATACTTATTTAGAATATCCCAAACCACTCTAAAGGTTGTTTTTGGATATGGATTCGGTCTCTTTGGCAACGCAAAAAAAAAAGTAATTTGTTAATTTATTGACTTATTTATATCATATTGTTTTTTTAATTTTTATACGTCTTTTTGTAATAAGTTAAAAAGTCAAAAAATAAGTCATATACAAAATAAGCAAAAGTTGATTTTTTTAATTATTATGAAAATATGTACAAAAAAAAAATTAAACAGCTGATATAATCCAAATAAGTTAATAAATTAATAAACAACTTATTTATGTTATTGTCAAAAGGGTAAGTGGAAAATCAACAATGATTCATCCCACTAATTTGGAAGTGCTAATTAACCACTAATGAGGTGGAAATTCAAAAAATAAAAAAAAAAAAAAAAGCAAAACATCCTATTATGTGGGACCCACACCACTTTAGAGCTATTAGTACTCCTTTTTTTAGTGGTCTCACTCATTTTTTGTGAAAAATTAAGTATAGATATCATATATATTTATTTTTTTTGAGAAAATAAATGTGCAGTGGGAATAGAAAAAATTAAATATAAATAAGTGATATAAATATTAATAATTGTAATTATAATTTTATTTATTTATGTGTAATTAATTTTCTCTGACATCACTGTAGAGTAATTGTCCTTTGTTTTTAGCATGTTGTATTGTGTTTTTGATAATTTTTTTTCTTCATTTTACCAATGAGTAATGTTACAAATTTGAAAAATTATATTAAATATTCTATTAAATATCTCGTTTGAGACTTACATAAAACTCACATTAGTTCCCGCCTCTATAATTTAAATCCCACGCCTATACGATACATTTGATAAAAAATTTAATAAAACTTCTAAAATTTCTAACATTTTTCTTAACAATTGTCAAATCTCCTATCAGCACAGGATCATGTTGCCCCATTAGTGGACAAATGTTTTTCTTTCACCATCATCGGCAAAATATTTGACGGAAAAAACACACAAACACCGGTTTAAAAAATATATTTATACTTTATCTTAATATTTTTTTAAAATTTTACACAGCCTACTTTCACTAATAGTGAATCCTACGTCATCACAATGTGAATCCTACTTCTATAAAAATGTTAGGGTAAATTATATTTACCTCCCCTGAGGTTTCTGACAAATACAAAAACCTCCCATATAGTTTGAATAATTACAGTAACCTCTCCTATTTTATCTGATAATGTCAAGATTCTCCCAAACCGTGACTGCCGTTAAAAGATCTAACAGAGAGTGCTGATGTCACTCATTATAAATTATGAAAT